AAAAAAATAGAGTGTATTCATAAGATTTAGGGTGTTCAAAAAAAAAAAAAAAAAAAAGACCTGTTCTCATAATTGTTGGGCTTTATTTTTGGGGCTTTTATTCCTTTTTATGTGAGGAATAAGGAAAAGAAAGAGAAGAAGCATGTATAACTCAAGACTCAGGTCACGGTATAAGGATTCAGAGACTCTCTCAGCACCTACACGCACATACGGAGAGGGAGAGAAAACCCAAAGAGCAAGGAGGAAGATTGGAGGTTCAAGCTTTGCCATGGAAGTGAGCCGAGATGGATTTTCGGTTATTTCTTTCTATGCTTTTAAATTCAATTATTTTGGACTTTAATATTATGAACTAAATTTTCTTTGCTAGGTCTAAGACATAGCTTAGCCATCAAAGTTTATAGTTATATTAATTTCTTATTAAGGAAGTGTTATTGGTACTCTAAAAATCTCATTCTATACTCTTCACAAGTGTATTATTTTTTTTTTTTTCAAATATAGAAAGTTTGAAATGTAAAATGAGATTTTTGAAATACTAATAACAATTCTCTCTTATTATTATTAATTACCATTGAGTGTTCGAATCTGTTCTTAATGCTTGTATTTAATTGGCTACCAGGTTGAGACTGAAAAGAGATATCTAATATATAGTTTCTAGTAATGAGTGCCATAAATAGAATAACATGATTTATGCAGTTTCTTTTGCGAATTTCCAGTAGTGCAAAATGGGTTCTTGGTTTTTTGAATTTTTTGCTTGGAAAATAATGGGTTAGTAATGGATACTTTTGGTTGAGTATGAAACAGAATATCAAATAATTTAGGAAAAATCAATGGTCAACATTCGTAGTAATTAAGGTTAATATGCTCTAGATTTCGGATGGAATTAATTAGGTGAAATTGGCGTCGTAGTATTTTATTTATATTCATTCATCTTTCATATTTACTTGCATAGTTGCTTTGCATGTCCAATTTTATCATCATAAACCTTGTTATATTTATTTTTATTTTGCAACTATCACGATAATAAATTTAGATTAATCCAACCATTGTTGGAACAACCACTAAACGTTTCATCATAATACTACCTTACGGATACTGTACACTTGCAATTCTAACGGCTACTTGGCAGGAACATTCACCAAGCCAGCGAAGGATACACTTACGTTGAATAAAAATTCTTCAGTCAAATCACCTTCAATAATTCATACTAACCGATGAGCACATATTCTGTGTGTGTGAACAATTTCATTTTATTTTTTATTTTTATTAAGGAGTGTGATTAGTTTTTAAAATTTTAAAAAGAGTATGAAAAAATGATGATGGGACAATTTCTCTTAATAAGTGCATATTTTATCTTAATATTACATAATTACTGTTTTTTTCCATCCTTATGTAAATATTGTATATCAAAAGTGAGGCTAAAATAGGATAAATAGGGATATATAATTACTGTTTTTTGTCCTCCTTATATAAATGTTGTGTATCAAAAGTGAGGGTAAAATATGATAAATAGAGATGTATAATTACTTTTTTTGTCCTCCTTATATAAATGTTATGTATCAAAAATGAGGGTAAAATAGAAAAAATAGGGATATGATTTTCATTTTGTCAAAATGTATAAAATTATTATTTTGCCATCCTCATGTCAAATATTGCGTATTCAAAAAAGGGCAAAATTGAAAAAAAATGGGAAAAATGTTGATAATGGCTCTTTTCTTAGTAGAATAGCATAGATAGATTAAATGAATTGTTATTAACATTACAAAAATCTCATTAGACATTCCAAACTTTATATAATTGAAAAGAAAAATACACTTGTGAGAAGTGTAGAATGAGATTTTTGGAATGGAAATAACAGTCCCTAAATTAATCAAACTTATCTTTAAGGTGTGATGACACAAATTTCTTTACGTAATCCATTTCCAGGAAAATTCCGGAAAGCAGAACGAGTAATTAGTCTGTTTCATCTGCCTCCTCCATTTCCCTGTCCCTCTCCATTTCTTTATGCAGAAGTATTTGATGTGTTTCAAGCTTCTAATACTACTTGTACTAGTCAGCATAGCAGCTGCTGAAGATCTCAATTTCGCCTACCATGGTTTCCGGTCTGCAAATCTTAGCCTAGACGGCATAGCAAGAGTGACACCCAATGGTCTTCTGAGGCTTACAAATTACACTAGATTCAAGATTGGTCATGCCTTCTATCCCAACCCAGTAATTTTCAAGAACTCATCTAACGTTACAGTTCTCTCCTTCTCTACCACTTTCATCTTTGCTATGAGATATACGGGTCTCCAGGGCCACGGAATAGCCTTTGTCATCGCTCCAACAAGAGGGCTGCCCCATGCTTCTTCATCCCAACACCTAGGCCTGTTCAACCTGACAAATAATGGCAGTCCAACAAATCATATTTTCGCTGTAGAGCTTGACACTTTTCGGAACGAAGAGTTCAAGGACATCAATGATAACCATGTCGGGATTGATATTAATGGTTTGGCCTCTGAGGTGGCTTCTCCTGCCGGATATTATGTCGGAGAAAGATTGATCACCAGTGGCCAACCGGTACAAGTTTGGGTGGACTATGATGGTAGCAAGAAGCAAATCAATGTCTCTTTGGCTCTAGTTAGTAATGGTAAGCCCTATATTCCACTTTTGTCTTTGACACGCGACCTTTCCCCGGTTCTTCACAGAACCATGTACGTGTGCTTCTCCTCGTCCACTGGCCAGCTTACTGCTTCTGCTTACTTGTTGGGGTGGAGCTTTAAGATGAATGGTCAGGCTGAAGAACTTGTTCTCTCACAACTTCCCAAGATGCCTCGGCTAGGACCTAAAAAAATATCTGAACTTTTGAACATTGGTCTGCCTGTGATCTTGGTGAGTGTCGCTTTGCTAGCATTTCTTTTTGGTGTAAACTATGCCTTAAGAAGAAAGAAGAAGTTTGCAGAACTGCTTGAGGACTGGGAGCTTGAATATGGGCCTCAAAGGTTTAAATACAAAGAGTTATATATTGCCACAAAAGGGTTTCGCGAAAATGAACTTTTGGGAAAGGGTGGATTCGGTAAGGTTTATAAGGGTATATTGCCCACCTTTGGGATTGAGATTGCTGTGAAGAGGGTCTCACACGAATCAAGACAGGGGATGAAGGAGTTTGTGGCAGAAATTGTCAGCAATGGACGTCTTCGTCACCGAAATTTAGTCCCATTGTTGGGCTACTGCAGGAGAAAAGGAGAGCTACTGTTGATCTATGAGTACATGCCTAATGGAAGCCTGGACAAGTACCTCTTTGGCCAACCAGCGGTCACTCTCGATTGGAGGCAAAGATTTAGAGTCATAAGAGGTGTAGCATCAGGGTTGCTTTATTTGCACGAAGAATGGGATCAGGTTGTGGTTCACAGAGATGTCCAAGGCCAGCAATGTATTACTAGATGGGGAATGGAATGGAAGACTAGGAGATTTTGGGCTTGCAAGATTATATGACCACGGCTCAGACCCTCAAACTACTCATATAGCTGGAACATTTGGGTATCTAGCTCCTGAGCATGCAAGATCAGGCCGGGCCACAACAAGCAGTGATGTGTTTGCTTTCGGTGTATTTTTGCTTGAAGTTGCAAGTGGAAGAAGGCCAATAGAGTATCACGGCTCTGAGGATGTGATTTTGGTTGATTGGGTCTTTTCTTGTTGGAAAGGAAGTAATATTCTTGAGGCGAAAGACCCAAAGTTAGGTAATGATATTGTAGCGGAGGAGGTGGAGTTGGTGTTGAAGCTTGGGCTGTTGTACTGCCAATCAGAGCCTACAGCAAGGCTAAGGATGCGCCAAGTTGTGCAGCATTTGGAGGGTGATATTCCTTTGCCTACAGAGTTGTCACTTCTCAGTGCCTCTGCAAGTGGCCTAGCCATTTCTCAGAATGAAGGTTTTGATGAGTCTACAATGGCCCGGGGGTCTTCAGCGTCATCATATGCTGCAGATTCGTCATTCCTCTACAGCGGTCGATGAATCCAAAAGCAACAAGATCTTCTGTGTCTCTGGTATTCATAGCGTATAAAACTGAGTGGCACTCCTAGTACTTATGATTTTTGTAAATTTCAATCCGTTCAAGGCCAATCATATTATCATACACAAGTTTGTTCTTTTGTTCTTTGCTATTCTATCTGCAGTCTGCACGGAGCAATATGCATTTTGTGCATTGCACAGAGCAATATAGTCATACAGTGATTGTTCTTGTTCACTCGTGTTCGTCATCAAAATTTAGTATGTCTCTTGGGCTTAGCGTTTCCTCACAAAGAAGGTTTTGACAAAATTGCAATGGGCGCGGGGTTTCCCCATTCATATGCTGTAGAGTCATCACTCCTCTCAGCCGCTCAGGTGGTCGCTGACACCAAGCACATAGCGTTCTCTAGTAAATATTTTTATCAAGTACAACATAAAATCCACAATCGGGAATCAGAACAATCTGTTGTTTTGCATCCAAGTGCTTATTAGCTTGTCAATGTAACAGGTTCTCTCTGTCTTCGTCGAACATGTGATTATCTCTATTTGTTCTAACGTGTTCCGATGTGTTTCAAATTTCAATCTGTGTGGTACGTAAACGATGATTAGTCCATTGCTCGAATATCTCGATGCTAGACCAGAGAAGATGGTGAGGTGAAGGACCAAAAGGAAAAGTACGTTTGTAGCAAAAGTGATAATGGAGCACACGTACATAACTATAGTTTACTGTATTGAGATGTATTGAGAGAGAGAGAGAGAGAGAGAGCGAGAGAGAGACTACAGAGGTTCTACAAGATACTTTGTTAGAATGTGTCCACTTAAGGTTATGTCCAGTAAACTCTATTTGTCGACTATGATATTATCCTCTTGTTAGAGACGAATTTTGCCCATTTCAAAATGAAAGTGGGCAATAACTCTGATTTGGACATGGCCTTTTTTATTTTTTTAAATACAAGAATACGTTTACACCGAGTTGAAGAATAAATTGATTTCAACCTCACTAATGACAGTATTCGATGAAAAATAATGAAGTAAGAAAAGGAGAGGAAATAAAATAGTAGGCGGTTACGGGTCGGGTTCATTAGACAGGCGCGGACTCTGGATGGCGTATTGGATTGGAGGTAGCATCTGAGTCGCCTTACTCCGTTCCGATTGAATTAATCAAAGAAATGCCGGTGAGAGTGGCGGAGACCTCCGCGCCTTCTCAACTTTCAGGTACTCCTCTCCCCCCTCTTCTCTCTCGAAGCCGAAGGCCACCGCAAACAGCGGTTTGCCCATTTCCTAAAGTTAGGTTTCTTGCCGAAATCTGCACTATTGGTACATTTTGTAGGATTGAATTCTCAAAGGCACTACCTTTTATGTAATTTTTCTTCCAATTTTTCACACACATATGTATATGTTTGTGGATGTTTCTCTGTGCAGGTTCAAATTGTGGACACACAGCTCCTCCAGCTTGCACACTTTTAAGCGTTGGACAGGTTTCTCTTTGTCCCTGTGCCTTTGTAATTCTTAAATTTCTTTCCTTTTTCTTGAAATTGGTTAGAATTGTGGAGTATCGCCTGATCAATATTGGTTTTAAGCACAAGCACCGAAATTTGGAAGCGTAAATGTGTGCCACATTGTAGAAGTAAGTTCATGGTTCTGTGGCAGGCCTTCTCCGGTACGCAGAACGTTTCTAGTCTGCACAAAGATGAAACGTGGAGAGTGAATGTTCGGATACAGGGGTGTGACCTTGAGTATGGTTATCTATGTGGAAACATGGAAGCTCTTAACGTTTCTATGGCAGACACACCGGTAAGAAGTTTCTTTCTGCCTGTTGACTAGCTGTCACCGTGAAATATTTGTTTGTGTATTGGTATTGATATTAAGTATTTCCGCGAAATGATCTAAGAACAACAAAAGAGTCAACGAACTGCTGAGTTTTTATCGGACTGTTCTTTAGTTAAGGAGTTTCATTCCCTTATAGCATTGTAGGTCCCTTTGATTTTCATACTGTTGTCAGTGCTGTGGTTGTCTAGAGTCCACATCTTGTAATATGGCTATATCTAGATGGCAAACCTCATAGTTAAATCTTAAATCAAGCATTCTTTGGGTTCATTAGGTGGCCGCGAGAAACTTGATTTGCCTGATTTTCAATCTTCCTTTCCTAAGATATCAGTACAATATTCACTGCTTATCGTGTGTCTAATAGAAGCCTGCCACTTTCATGCAAGACGTGTACATTAGATTTGACACCGTATCTAATTTTTTGTGGATATGGAAATCTAGTTACTGTAATCCCCCACACTCCCGTATTCTGATATTTTCATAACCTTCATTGGGTATCTACTTTGTTTTCCAAAATGTATGTTAGGTAGTTACCTTTTGGGAAGGAGAGATTGTTGACACCAAGAATTATACTTTCTTCACTGGAAAATGGGAAGCAACGTATGTTTCTTTTGTTCTTTTAACCTGTAATCCATAGTAGACCCTAATTAGCAATGGTTGTGGAATAACAATCTAGTGCTTATTTGTGAAACCCTTTACAGGACAGAGGATGATATAAGGCACTGGACCAAGTTTCCTTCTTTTTCCTCTCTTCTGGTATGGAGTCTATATCTTCTCAATCTATGGAAAACTTCTTTTATCGTCTGATTAATTCTATTGTTTACAGAGCCAAGTGGAAGTTGATGGTGGCAAATCATTAGATCTAAGTAATTATCCATACATATTCATGGTAACTGATCTAATTGCTTTATTATTCCCCATATAATTACTACTTAACCATCGGATGAAACGTTGATGAATTCTTTGACATTGTCGTGGTGCAGAGATGGAAAGAGCAATACTTTGTGAATGTTGGCACAGACTGTGGGCTGACTATAGCTGGCTTTTACTATGTCTGTTTTTCTTGTAGCGACGGCTCCATCAATGGCTTCTATTATGATCCTAACAGCAGGTACACTGGCCAGAGTATTTCCCTCATTTTTTTCATGGGATGTGCGTATGCTTACAAAGTATGTTGCCACTTTCATTATTATGCGCTGTCTTTCTGGTTTAGTATTTTAATCACATTGCAGCAAAGTGACTGATAAGTATTACTTGAACCAACGTGCAGCCCTTTGGAGAAGCTTGAGCTGAAATCCACTAACGAGGAACGATCAGGTTTCAGCTTTTCATCATATGAACTGCGATAGATGAGAAAATATATGTCTAGGGATATGCCTGCTAGGAATTGTACAACTTTTGGTCAATTTTCAAGAACACGCGTCTCCATTTGTAATGCAAGGATTAACGTACGAGTTGTGAAGATGTACATTTGTCTGTGTTTGTAAAAGTATGTTGCGGAGCTGTTTGGTGTTCTTGTATATTGTAATTGCCGATTGCGAGTTACTTTGGGGTGATATGAAATCTTGCATATGTGCCCAAACCTTCGGCTCAAATCTGAATTTATGATTGTGAATACAAGCAAAAATAGGTCCAGTCAAGTTTACTTCTTTATGATTCTTGGTATTATGATTTAAAGGAAAGCTTAGCAATGCCCTGAACTTTGTACCTTGTTCCACTTTGCCGGTTTGCCCTATGAATTTTTTTATTTTGGTTGAGCCCCCAAACTTTTCATTCCTACCGGTTTCTCGGAGACGGTCGACAGTGTCACAATTTTCCGTTAATTTCATAACATGCAATATATAACCAACTTTTAGGAGCGTATATGTCATCAAAATGCAACATTCACAAGAAAAAATAGTAAATATTTTGGAATTCTTAATTAAGCTATGAGAAAGGTAAAAAAAAAAAAAAGAGAGTGAAAGAAATGAAACTTAATGCTTATGCATTAAATCAAATGCTTCTACGATACAAAATGGACGAAAATACATTTAATACGACAGAATAAGTGACAACTAACAGGAAAGGGAGAACATTGGACAATTGAAACTTAAAATTTTTTGCATTAAATCAAGGGAATTTTAACGAAAAGCTCCTGGTATTGTTCACTTTAACGAAAAATCATATTTTTACACTAAAAAGTCAATCTTGGTATTATTCACTTTACCTTTTATTTTGTCCTTATCGTTAAAACTCAAAGTTTTCAAATCATTTTCATTAGTTTTCCTTTAAATCAAAGGCCTCCACGGAATAAGTGACAAATGAATTGAAAGTACTCATAAATGAACTTATGGGAATGGGAGAGGATTGGGCAGTTCTCGCTACTTACATGTAAGAAATTATTCCTTCTTTAATGACGACGACATGACATCATATTACCATACAAATTGAAAATCTTCATTCTCTTTGTTATCGCTTAAAGGTTATTTCTAGAAACATTCATTCGATTTAGAGAGCGTTTAGTCATCCATGTGAATAAAAAATAAAAAAAATAAAAAATTGAAGGTTTACTATAAGGATGTTAATGTCATTGTAATTGTTGATTTGTTCAACACATATGGATAATTAAACAATCTTAAAAGTGAATGAATTTTTCTAGAGATGGTCTTCAGTTGATGATAAAGAGAATGACTAGTCTAATTATGAAGTTTGTATGGTTAAATGATGTCACATCGTCATTGAAGAAAAAATGACCCCTTATATATAAAGAACCAAGTATTGTTCGGGTGCATCGGCATGAATAATTTTGGGCGGAGGGGGCTTAAAATGAAATTGATAGTTTACAGGCCTAAGTGGAATGAAAAAAGGCTCAGCTTAGCTACTGCTTCTTAGGGTTGTGAATCGGCTTGAAACAGTTCAAACTTACATTAGGTTCGACTCGTTAAGAAACAAATTAAGTTTGAGTATTAATATGTTTGACTTGTCAAAACAAGAGCAGCGAATAGTTCTCACGAGATAACTTGAATTAGGCTCTATTCAAGTAGTTTGTTTGTAATGAAAGATTATGTTTGAGATTTTTCTTTCGGATAATATGGTTACTTTTAAGACGAATTTGATATTATGTTCCCATCTTCTTCTGTTTCTAAACAGACAACAAGCATTGACAAGTATGAGGGGTCTATCTCTTAAAGTATTACTTTTGAATTTTTTTTGTTTTGTTGTGTTGTTTATGTTCCCATTTTTCTGTCTCTAAACAAACAACAAGCATTAACAAGTATGAGGCGTCTATCTCTTCAAGCGTTGCTTTTGAATTTTTGTTGTTGTGTTGTTTATGTTCTATATTTTTTTTTATTAAAATGTGTTGTTAAGTTGTGAAATTTTTTTTATTATAGCAAACCAACTTATTGCAATAAAAAGCTCGATACAGTTTGAGCTTGGTGTCAAGTTGAAGTTTTTAAGCTCACTCGAGTTCATATAAGAAGCAAGCCAAACCTAGTTTGATCTCGAAAAAAATTAAACAAACCAAAAACTTTGAGCAAAGTGTTATTCGATTTGGTTCGGCTGGTTTACAAGCCTCAATGCTGCTGGTAGAGAATATGCGTTGTGGACCTTGTGGTCCCCAATCCAACTGGCCGAGGTTCAAGGATATGAACATCTAAACCATTCAATTAATTAGCAGCTTTTGTTGGTGGAGACTGGAGAGATTCAATTCAATTCAATTACAGATCATATAGCTTGCAGTAGCGGATTGTCCCAATAGAGAACTGATGAGATGAGATGAGCTGAGAATTGGCCATCACCATTCACCACCAAGTCCCTCATGATCAAGCGTTGAAGACGATCACGAAGTGGGGCCCAACCCAAACACACACAACTTGTAAAATCAACATTGAAAGTGGGGCCCACATTTGAGCCCCTAATATTATTCTCAAGTTCAGTGCCAACCAAACCAAACCACCACAGCACCAACACATTCACAAACCTTGGCATTTGCCCTCGTTTCCTGCATTGAAGGGGGACGACGATGAGATGAGAGAGTGAGGGAGAGAGAACATTTATTCCACTAAGTTGCCCACAGAAACATCCTCGTGCATGGACTCACGCACTTGGTAACCCAGGTCAAATAAAACACCCTAATTTAAATAATACATAAAATACTAACACAATAAATAATTAAAATAAAAATCTTAACCCACCACTACTAGCCTACTACCAGAAAAACACTGCATTTACCCCATTTCATGAGGGACGTGTCCCTCTGTTTATTTCTCTATCTGTAAGTTGTAAGTTTGTAACCACCCACCAACTCTTATATAACTTCCCCTTAACTTTCCTGATCATTTCACCATCTTCCATATTTTCCTTTCGTTTTCTCAAGCTGTTCATCTCTCACTCGAGCCCTATTATTGGGGAAGAAGAAACATATGTACTTTTTTTAGACTGGCCATAGCATCTTTTATATTATTCAAAACATGGTTTGCATGGAAAGTTTGCTTTGTGATGAGGTATGCCCTTCAAGCCCCCCTGCAGTGACTACTGAGCCTTTCGGTCGCAGTAACTTTGGATCCTCAATGTATACAACTAAGGAAGAGTATGAGCAGGCTCTTACCATATGCATGGAGAAGGAGATCAGCTACATGCCTGAACCTAATTATCTAGGGAACCTATCTTCCAATAATTTGGTCATTGCTAGGTTAAAATGCATTCAGTGGGTCATCAAGGTCAGTACAATAACATATGTGCGTGTGTGTGTGTGTGTGTGTATGTTAATATTTATCGAACTACGCTTTTTAATTAATTGAGGAAGAACTACTGTATACCTTGTATTAATTAGAAGATGATTACTACGGTAATACAATATAACATTTTAACTCTTTGTTTGTGTTTTCAGTCTGCAGGTCGGTTGAACCTCTCCCTTGGAACCGTTTTCTATGCTGCAAATTACCTTGATCGGTTCATATCCATGAACCATTGCACTGTAAGGACTATATGTTATATAGTAATAATTTAAAATCATTCAGTGATATATGTATAGAGCGAGAGAGACAGAATTCAATTGGTCTAATTTGGGAAGGGGCACATATATATTATATATATGTGTATCACTGAATGAATTTATTTAATTCAATTCTATGGTGACCTTTCATATTCTTTTTTAAATTTTCTAATTTTCCAATTTCCTAGTTATTTGTTTCGACAACATTGAAAGGATATATGAAACTAATATGTATAAAGGTGTATGTATTTTCAGGGATGGAAATATTGGATGGTTGAATTGGTGTCTGTTGCCTGCTTATCTATTGCCTCCAAGTTCAGTGATACCTGCAATCCTTCCCTGCTTGAACTTCAGGTGATAACTATTCATTAATTACGTGCGTGAGCTGCTGTTATTAATGAAGAATGTAACCATCATATGTTTCTGCATTGGTTTAACTACTGTGCTAATTCATATTGATCGCAGATGGAAGATCTGGACCATTCATTTGAGCCAAGCACAATCCAACGAATGGAAATGATGGTGCTAAATGCATTAGGATGGCGCCTTGCGTCTACAACAACTTACTCTTACTTAGAACTGTTGGAATGGATTCTGGACTCCTTGAAGCCCCAACTTCATGAAAAGCTCATAGGCCGACTTAACAAATTGCTTCTTGGAGCTATTTCAGGTATATATGTATATGCATGCACATTTTTTATTCGTAATTATTCGATGCATGTTGTACAGTTGTAGTGTATACCCCTGTTGAATAGAGTTTTTCTTTTTAACTCACTGCGTTCTGAGTTCAAACTCTCCCCACTCTCTTTAATCAAGCTTAGAGTACTAATATCGATTATGCTAAAACACTTGTATTATTATTTGCTGATAGTACTTATAATTAATGAAACAAAAATTATTATGAAAATTCCAGATTCCAAGCTTCTGGATTTTAGGCCAAGTGTGGTTGCCATATCTGCTCTAAGGTGCAGTCTGGATAAGATACAACTTTCAGAAGCCACATCTGATAACGCCTACCTCACGTGTCTTACAAGTCTATTGGATCATGACCAAAAGGTTAATTAATTAATTTCAATCTTCAGTATCAAATTCCCTTTTTAATTTGCCCTTTTCTTTTGCTAATTAATTTCTAACATTTTATTCCTGGTACTGTTTTATTGACTGGTTTGTCCACTACCTGTATATTATAGTGTGAGCTGGTGAAGTGCCATATGATGATGGAGGAGCAATATTCATCGGTTGATTTTTTGGACAACTTAAGAGTTCAACGGGATATTCATTACTGCCCTTCAAGTCCCACAACAGTGCTGTTGAAGAATCGTATTATTTTTTATGATTTTCATGTTGATTTCTCTCTCTTTAAGATGAGAGATCAAACTATAATCACCGGGATTAACAAGAGAAAGCGAGAAGATGACTACCCTAATTAGAAACATATCTTCTATTTATTTATAAATTCCCCGTAGATTGTACGTCAAGAAAAGCTAAATCTTGAGATAGAGTTTGACAGAACGTGTGATACATATCTATGAGAGAAGAAATAATTAAGCAAAGCTGTTTTTCTCTACCTCCTGCATGCTGATTACAACTTCTGCTGGACTGCTACCCACCTCTGGATTTTCCCTTTTTTTATGTAATGACTAGGGGTGGGTTCAAAAAACCGAAAACCGAAAAAAACCGACAACCGAACTGGACCGAGGCCGAAAAAAACCGAACCGAAATTGTCAAACCGAACCAAACCGAATCTGACCAGTTCGGTTTCAGTTTTTGAGGCTCGGAAACCGAACCGAACCGAACCGATATATATATAATTTTTTTGAATATTTATAAATTGTTTAGTCATACAATCATAACAAAACGAACCTGTTGCCAAGTTGGTTTTAATGAAACTTTACAAGCTGGAGGCATGGGTTCGAACCCTCATGCCTCCAGGATTTGTGAGGTTATTTTTAATTTTTTAATGTTTTTAACAAAACCCTTAAGCCTTAACAAATAACAACCCTGGTCCCTGACTCCCTGTAACTAAAGCCGCCGTTGTAACCCTAACCCTTAAGCCTCTTCTCTCTCGTTCCCTACTTCCCTTCCCTGCCTTCAGTTCTTCTTCTTCTTCAGTCTCGCGTAGCCTGAGGTCCTGAGCCTCATCTCTCTCTCGCTCTGTCTCTCTCAATCTCTCAGGCGACTCGTGACGGCGCAACCCTTTTCACTCTCAGTCTCTCACACCTCGCCCTCGTCGTCAGTCACTCTCTCTCATCTCGCCGTCAGATTTTTCTTGCCGTTTTCAAGTCTCGACAGTCGACATCAAAAGGTTAGCCTCCTCTCTCTCTCTCTCGGTCTTCAAGACTTCAACTTCAATCACTCTCTGTATCTCTCAAACTCTCTGTCTCTCTCAGTCTTGAATCCCAGGCGACATCGAGTTCGCGACTGGCGGACCTTTCTCACTCTCAAATTGTCTCAATCTCTCACACGGTCACACCGTGCCTTCGCCGTCAGCGCCAATCTTTGATCTCGCCTTGAGCTTGTTCTTGCCGTGCCGACTTCGAGTCTTGAGACTGCAAAGGGTTGGTCTCGTACTCTCATATATGGGCTTCTGCTTCTGCTTATCGAATATCGATATTTAATTCTGGGCTTCTGCTTGACTGCTTCTGCTTAGTGCTTACCGATTCTGGCCTTCTGGGCTTCTGCTTCTGCTTCTACTTAATGCTTACCAAATTACCAATCATTAAAATTGCATGCAGATTCAGAATTCAGAAATTGTAAATTTGTAATATTTGATTAATTATTCTTTGTCGTGAATCGTGATTGAAGATTTTGATGGTTTTCTGGGCTTTTGAGAACCTGTTGGTTATACTGTAATATTTGATTTCGATATGTTCATGTGACCATATCCTGATGGATTAATGAATAATCTTGAATGTCCACTGTAGTAGCCCTTGTGAGCAAAAAAGGGTTACATAAACTATTTAGGATCTTTTAACAAATTGGTTGAGCTATTTATGAATTCTTAAACTCTTGAAGCTCTAATGTTTTGTTTAAAAGGCCTGTAGATGTTCATGAAGGTGCCATCTTCTGAATGCAACTTCCATTAAGCTTACAAAAGGAAGCTATGCTTCAGATTACATTCGCAAATTTGAAATAAGATCAGAGGGATTTGTCCAGCAAACTTTTAATTTGTCTGACTTCATGGTGTTCTTGCTTGTCAATCATAATTTCTCAAACTATTTAGGATCTTTTAAAAAAAAAAAAAAAAACCGAACCGGGCCGAAACCGAACCGAGAAAACCGAACCAAATACAAACCGAACCGAACACAAACCAATAGAAAACCGAACCGAACCGAACCGAACAATAATTTCGGTTCGGTTTCCAATTTTCGCAAAAAACCGAACCGAACGGAACCGAACACACCCCTAGTAATGACAGTTGGGCCACGAAAAGATATTTCTGATTGAATATATAATACCTGGTCCTCATCAAATTTTGTTAGAATTTTTCTGGTTAAACACCGCACTCATCTGAGTTTACGCACATTCTTAAAATATTGTTTGTTTAAATTTTATTACAGTGTCAAAAGACAATAAAGGGCATAACATTTTAAAGGCTAACCCTAGTCCACCTATAACCAAAGGGTAAGAAAAGAAGAAAAATGTTATTACAAACTTTGATTCTTATTCCATTGATTAAAATAAAGGAGAAGATTATAAATTGTCAAGACCGCATTATATGCTCAAAGACCGCATTTTTCCGAGATTGGACACATGAAAACAAGAACAAGGTACGAACAAAAGCGGATGCCCAAAAAAAATAAGAGAAGCAAAATCGAAATAAAAAACAAAACAAACCCACGATGAAAATTGACAAATTCCCAAGATCTGAACTTGAGAAAACAAACTGAAGGTGAAGTTAAAAAAGAAAAGAAAAAAGAAATGATAAAAATTGATATACCAAACGAGGGGATTGAAGTCAGAGGGATGAAACATGCTCTAATATCATGTTAACAAATCAAACGACAAGAAAATAAGAACAGAAAAATGTTAACTAATATTATTGTACTACTTATTTTTATTATATAATTGCATGATAACGTTATCAAAATTGTCAATGAACACAACCAATAACAACGTAAAATTGTCAAAACTAACAATGAACACAAACCAATAACAATGTAAACAATTGATTAAAAGTTGCACACAAGATAAATTATATGTTTAGAATATACTGAAATTTTCTTATCAGAATAAGTTTGGCGGAAAGCTAAAAATTATAAAAAAATAAAAAAAACCCGGAGTGGGTATTGAACCCGACGTGAATCGAACACGCAACCTTCTGATCTGGAGTCAGACGCGCTACCATTGCGCCACGGATCCGGTTGTTAACCATGTTACATATTATTATATATCCAATCGAATAATCTGTTTTTTATTCTCACGGCGAATTCGTTTGGTTGCTGCTCAATGCTCTCACTCTACGTAGCTTATAGCCAAAACGGTTCAAACTTGAAAGAGACATCCCGCCAAGATCAAACTGTAGCTTGAACTTGAGCCTGAAACCTCAGATTTAGAGTCGTATTCTCCAAGAAGTTTCATTCCATTCAACAAAACATCGATATCTCGAGTTCAGATGAATGAGTTGTGCAGTCAGTGCGATATATCTTTATAAAAACTTTCAGTTCTTCCGACTCTGTGAAATAATTCTGAACCTATGAAATAGTGTGCAGTCTGAAATTGAAAAAGCTCATAAAACTTATGGTTTTTCCTTTTGGTGCACTAGCATTTGCGTCTGTTTTCTTGAGCTGACAGAAAGAAGAACTTAAATTTTTCCTTCAATTTATTACTACTTTTAGCTTCACGCTTAAAACTTTTAACTTGGTATATAAGGCATCTGATTCCCACCGGGCGTGCTTTCTTCTCTTCGCAGCATCTGAGAACATACCTTTTAACTGAAAGACAGAAAGGGCTTCAAGTTTGTGTATAGAAAGAAAGAAAGAAAGAAAGAAAGAAAGAAAAGCCCCCGTGATTCAAAGGTTAAATGAATGAGATTAATTATGAAGAGAATGAAGAAGTTAATTTTTATGTGTTTCCGAAATACATACATGTTACTTTTTGTTGATGCACAAAATTTGTGAGATTTTGGAACAACGTAAAGTGTCAAGTTTGTGACCTTCGTTCGGTTGCTTCGGTCACCTAGTGATGAGAATATGTAAAGAGATAGGGAAGCCAACACAAGATGTAAAGGGTTCACCCTAAGTCTAGCTACGTCCACGAAGTAGAGAAGTACTCATTAATGGTTACAAGAGTTCTTTAATAGTGAAGGCTTTACACAAATACATAAGTTTAAGCATAATTATCATTAATGGGTTCTAATGACTAGTTAAGTACAATAATGACATTAGGGTTTAATTGTAGGGAAAATGATCCTCGTTGGATCCTTTTCATGGGGATCCTAGGGATCCCGTAATCATGGTCATTCATCGTTCATTGTACATCGTTTGGTCAGTTTTCGTTAGGTACTATTTATATTTAAATTTGAAATGATTTCTAACCACACGATGTACAATGAAAGGTCACGATTCCTTCTCCTAATTGTAGCAAAATGGTCTTCTTTTATAGTTGAGGAGAGCCTCCAGCATTTGTCCGTGGTCTATGAGCTTTATTTTGACGTTGACATATGTCATACTGTGATTGGCCTCCTGGTTGGAGGGAAACTCTTGTGCTTCGACAATGGTGCTTGAACATGAACCCCTCAGTGGGTCCTTGAAGG